GAGGACGGCTCGTGAGTGAGGAGAGAACGGCTCGGGAGTGAGGCGAGGACGGCTCGGGAGTGAGGCGAGGACGGCTCGGGAGTGAGGCGAGGACGGCTCGGGAGTGAGGGGAGGACGGCTCGGGAGTGAGGAGAGAACGGACTCGGAAATGGGATAACGACTGTTAAGATGGAAATAGGACAGAGGAGGGTGAAGACAGCCCAGCGGTACTGGGGGGGGGGGGGGGGGGGGGGTGACGGTGATCGAGCAGCAACCTCCTCTTCTCCTCCTATCCCTGTCCATCTCCCACTCCCTCCCCCTCTCACAATCACCTCTACCGGTGAGCCCCCCCGCCCCCCCAAATTCCCCTCTAATGGCTAATACCGAGGTACATTTCCTGCTGCACTGGGCCGGAACAAACCGGAGAAGCTTGTCCCCTCCCCCGAGCTCATGCCAACACCCACAGACACTAACAATTATTTCTATACCATTGATTTCTTAGTGCTCCTTTTTAGAAATGTTAAAGCCCAACACCACATTCACTGACACGACAAAAAAAAAAAAATTCTTGACAAACCGGCCGTTCATATTCAACCCTTTTTTTTGCTTTAGAAGCCCATAGACTCTTAATATGAAATGGCTCCTGTTATTCCTGCCATAATTCAGCACGTCTCCCCGCCAGCGTGGCTCCGCTCCTGACAGCCTGCCTCTGACAGCTTTAGCCCCCCCCCCATAACGCGAGGCCTGCTCTTCTCCTCCATCATCCCTGCTGTCCTCCCGCCATCCCTCCCCGCACCTGCACCACCGGTCGTCCAGAACTAGGCCACGCATCGCACCCCCCCCCAAATGAAAGAGTTCCTGTGACCGCCCCCCCCAAACTCCACCTGCCTATGTCAATATTCATCCCTGAATTCATTATTATGTTCATCACAGCCGAACAACTCAGAGAGGGAGGGGTCCTGCTCACGCCCCCCCCAGACCGGCGCCGTTGCTCACTGCTGCGTGCTCCAGTCTCCACGCTCCTCTACAGTCTAACAACATGGCGGTTTCCAGGCGTGCCAATCGCCGCCAGCGCGGGGGTCACTGGGTGCACGGCCCCACAGGGTCGCTGCCGGAACACTGCACCCTTCTCTCTGCGTCAATCGGGCAAAAACGAAAGCGGGACGCGGGATATGCCAGTGACAGGGTAACACTCTACATGATCCTTAAAAGGATCAGACCTTATCCTTTAAGTTTTTTGACCATCTAATGCAGTGGTCACCATCTGGCAGACTCCAGTATCCGGATCAAAATACAACTGAATCCAGAGTGAGTGATCAATCCTCCCGGCTCAACTGTGCTGCTGATGTGTGCTATGATGCTGTGCGACGCTGTGCTGCTGATGTGTGCTATGATGCTGTGCGACGCTGTGCTGCTGATGTGTGCTATGATGCTGTGCGACGCTGTGCTGCTGATGGAATGTAGCCCTTCGGGACCACGGTGTTATGCTTTCTAGTCCCATCTGAAGACCTCAGCTCATACTTCATTGTGACCTAACCCACCCAGACTCCTTAAAGCCGCCTTATAAGAAAGGGCATTACAGCCATGACGTGGGGGTGGGGGGGGTATTTTAATGTCACTGGGATTATGCTGGGAACGAGCAGGGTTCTGCTTCTGAGTAAAGCGAATACGATACGGTCGTGACCCCAAATGAAATTCTACTGGGAATCTTCATGTGAAGTACAGGGACGAGTCTTCGTTCGCAGCAGAATCGGGTGACGTACCTTTGTGGAGGTTCTTTCCATGCTTCACCGCTCAAGGGACAAAGATGGCAACGAGGTCAAGGGAGAACGAGCTGTAACAGCGGGGCTTTGGCTGTACCTGTGCTTTCAGTGCTGCTGGGCGGGGGAGCCGGGGACGAGCTCCTCAGCGACTCCTTGTTGGACGTCTCCCTGGCGACCGTGTCCACAACCTTCTGCTTGCTGCTTGGGGCCTCCAGGGCTTTCAGCTTCTTGGCATGTTTAGTGCCCTTGTAGTGGGCCGAAGCCTGACTCTGTAGTTGGGGGGTTGGGGGCGTATTGTCAGACCCAGTCAGCAGCAGCCGGCAGCATAAAGGCAGTCATTAAAACCACAGACATAACAACACAGGTTTAACAGCACAGGCTTAACAACACAGGCATAACAACACAGGCTTAACAACACAGGCATAACAACACAGGCTTAATAACACAGGCCTGCTGTTTCATTCCCAGCCTGCACCTCTGTCCCGAAAACCAAACGTCTATCCCAGCAGGCTTTGCTGCCCCTTAAACAGGAAAGTACTGAGATAAACGTGACACTCGGACCTATCCGTCCTCCAAGTCTGTCGTACCCGTGTTACATTATCAGCTTTTGTGACTCTGTAAAGTGTCTGGAAAATTGCTACGGCAGCCATTATGATAGATAAATATGAACGGATCAGGCTCTTCATCGATCCGCCTTGCATCAGTTTGCCATGTGACATTCTTTCCCTTTTACTGTATAATATATTGATTTAAATGATTTGTTCTTACCCATTAACATACAGTGGTTGCAATGTTCTGCATTATTCTGACTGTTATTTAGCTGTGATTCCCTTTATGTATCATTGTATCCATGTAGCACTTAAATGTTAGTAATAATCCTCATGTGTCCACCGAGGTTTCCTGTCCCTGGGAGAGACTACAGTCCGAATCTGTTTTGGGTGTGTTTAGAAGAGGGATGGATGGATGGTTGGATGGATGGATGGACAGATGTGCCTATATCACATATTCACACCTGCAGCCAAACATTTGATTTTGCCCCTTTTCCCTCGATTGACGAATCCTTGGCATGAACGTATCCATTCCTATCTTAATATTTGTTCGAACAACCGTTCTCCCACATGCCAACATGTAAATACCATCTAAACAGGGTTCCAGGTGCTATGATATACGTCCAAATCAGCCGCGGAGCCCTTTAAAGCAGGAAAAACAACCTGTGATTCCGCAAATCATTTATGTCTGTTATCCTCTTTGTAAGCTGCGTGTTACGGCGGAGAGGCCCGGAGCGAAAACCGGCTCACGACGACCAGAAATCTCCAAAGCTGGGCCAAGATTGGGCGCCAGGTACCGCCAGCGGGTGACTTGAGCTGCCGCCTGAAAAACAATATTTCGCCTGCAAACCCCAAACATTTGAATTCGAGGCGGCGCTGAAACTTTTCACCAAACTTCCTACTGCGGTAAAGCTGGACATTTGGAAGTTGAGGTGCCCGTCGGGGACGGGACCCAAGACGGACGGATGGAGTATCGAGCCTGCCTCACTAATAAACAGAGTCTCCCTCATCCCATCAGAGATGGATGGCGGGTTAGCAGACGTTACCTTGGCGATTCCCGCGCGGGCTGTGATTAATGGTTCAGATGGAAGGTGATTATGAGGGAAATGGTCTCCAATGAGGAAATAAGAACGCGGGGGGGGGGGGGGGGGG